GTGTGTGTGTGTGTGTGTGTGTGTGTGTGTGTGTGTGTGTGTGTGTGCGTGCGAAAGAGACACCTCTCGAGAACAGATCGGCCTAAAAATGTACAGAAGCCAAACTCCTTCCTCCACTGTGTACACCGTCTTAAACACTGAATTGATCAGGTTCAGCATCTTCATTTCCAGATCCTTCACGACTGCACGATACCTGCGTACACACACACACACACACACACACAAGAACATGTCCACACATGAAAACACAAATGTGTGATAATCAGCCGATAAATGAATCAGAAGCACACTAAAAAAGGAGCACAGACCCGGTTGCAATGCTATTTTCCTCTGCCATAAGTGAAGTGGCGCACACATCTTCCAGGCCCCCGTTTCATGCTTATGCAACAGCTATAAATGAGATCCCTGTACTGGTCCAGTTTGCAAACCTGCTTGCAAACCTGTACCCGCCCTGCACCGGCAAAGCTTCACATGAACTGATTGGTTACATGTAATTATCTCTAAATCAAATCAAAATGAAATTTAGGCTCAGAGCTGTTGCTGTACAGTGAGGGCAAAAGCTTGGGTCGCAGGATACTGTCAGGGCGCACAATAGCAAAATGATAAAAGTAAATAGAAACAAACTGATAAATACAGAGGCAGACGCAAACACCATGTTTTCAATTGATTATGTTCGCTTTAGTTTTCTTCCTCTCGGGACCAACAAAAATCCTGAATACTTTATGTAAAGCGGGCACAGCATGTATCTTAGACAGATACCCAACAACGTGGTGCTCTGTAAACTCTGCTTATCACAGCAGCACAACTGCTATGAACAAACCCTTCAGAGAGCGGAAGCATCCCGGAACACTTTGTCAAGACGGCAGCAACAGCAAGACAGCACCGTCTTGTTTAGTTTTTGTCCCGACTAAAACAAGATTTATCAGGATTATTTACACGCTGAATATGTTTCTGCTACTAGTAGTGTAGCAGTCACTTACAATTGATTTTTCTCAATGTTTCTTTTGCCCCCATCTTAAAAAAGTAACTTCTGTACCGCTGCTGTTATGGTAACGTAACGTTAAACCTTGCGTCATCAAACGTTGTAATTCTGACAATTTATTTTTTCTGTTTATTTTAAAGGCCATCTATGAGTGAGAAATGGCTTCAAATAACATTACAGATAGTTTTTACAGTAAATCATTACAATTATTTCCCTTCCCCACACTGGCAAAATACATTTGATTATCTTCTGTGCATATTACTCAAGTGATGAGATCACTCCATGTCATAACCATTTAAAGTTTTAAGCCAAGTACTTCAGTAAAAAAACAGATTCTCCAGGTCAGGGAAAGGGTTGCTCTGACATACAGCGATGAAGTTAATCTGAGTGTCACAGCAATCCTTTTGATGTGATTTCAGGTCCAATATTATTCTGATCAGGCATCTGACAAACGGGTCTATTCTCTTGTTACTTCAAATCTAAAATAAGATAAACAAAATATTGAAGTATAAATCAGACTTTTTAAAATCTTTTTTGGGTAAATTAATGATTGTGTTAATCGGGAATTTAAGATTTAGAACAATGAATGAATTAGTTGATACAATACTAATCCAAAAAATAATCGTTATATTAATCGATGAAAGAAAAACCGTAGGTGTGCCCCAAATGTCGATTAGATGGTAATCTGCATGAGAAAAAGAAATATATATTCGTTTTAGTAGTCATCTGCTTATAGTACTTCATTTGACCCAGACAGACGTGATCACTAAAACAGGTTTCCACTGTACTAGCAAATCTCCAAACCCTATTTTATATTTGCTTGTTATTTTTCCTCCTAAACGTATCAGCCTCTCTTCCACCTTGCATCAACCTTCGCCTGGCTGCACCCGGTTTGAGCAAATGCCTCTGTGCACCAAAATTGCAAAGAATATGACGGTCATGTCCATTTGTGCTTACACTTAGAGATTTTATCTTGCGTTTGCTTTACTTTTATATCTAGTCTCAGTTTGAATGTGTTAAAGAGCAATAGACCTACTGGATGAATTTATTGCTCCATGTGGTGCTCTCGACATCAAGGATGTCCTTGTCCAAAAAGTGCAGGTTTTTTAGGCCACGGTCGAAGTTGCCCTCTATCTCCAGGAGGGAGCGGGTGAATTCAGGTCCCTGGCTGCTGCAGAAGCATGGCAGGGCCCTCTGCTGACCGTCCTCCCAACGGGCAAACTGATACTGGCACTCGCATATCTGAGACAAAGCAAGAGAACAATATATATCAAATAACAAACAATGCATCCTACAAAAAGCATCATTACTATACGGTTTGAAGAGTAAATATATTGAATTGATTCATAGAGGACTGTTTAGTAATAGCAGGGATAGAGTTCAGACATAAAACATATGAGTGCAAAGTGGAAACAAAATGAGGAAAAAAGTCACCAAAGGCTAACCTATCACATTCAATTTGACATTTCCTACTATGGTCCCAATGTGATACGTGTGGCCATGCAACCTCGCTCTAATCATTTATATTCATACTTGTACCTAATTCCAACACCACATTTCTTACAACACTTGTGGAAAGATGTTTTAAAGGAGATGTTCAATGACAAAACAGCGATAGTCGACTGCATCATTGTTTTGGAGGCAAAGTGACCCAACCGTGAAACATTGACGAAAAGTAAATATCCTTACTATTGTTAAAGAAGCTGAAGATGAGATCACTGTAAGTGCACAATAACACCATTTGGCATCCATTCCATTTGTGAACTACTGCCTGACAATCCTGTGTGTAATCTCTTTAGTATTGTTCTTTCAACAGCATGAATTTACATGTACATTTGTTATTGTCTCTGTATGTGTGAGTGAGGGGAAATTCACCTCAAGCAGCTCTTTGAATCTCTGGATGGAAACATCAACCACTACAAAAAAGCTGCTTTGGTCCCGGACCCAGTCTTTTGGAGAATGCCTGATGTAAAAAAGACAGAGGGGAGAAAAGAGAGAAAGACAAAGAGGAGCACAGAGAAAGGGGGGAATGGGTGGAGAGTCGCGAACAGAAATGAAGACTCAAATGAGCAGCATGTCAGTATTTTGGAACTTAGAATTGTTACGTGTTCAAAAACAAAAAGCAGGTTGTTACAGCAAACAGCCCCCCAATCAGGCTAAGCCTCAATCACACTGGAAAAAAAACTCCAAATCTATCAGGTTGTCTGAGATTGGATTACTTATCATTCTAAATTGAAGCATGGTGAAACAGCCTTTAATTATATGTTGCACATATCTGCAACAAAATCTGAAGTCATATCTGACCTAAACTATTTCAAATCGAGGCTTTTCTGCCTGACGATGCTCTTTAAGGTTCTATTTATTTCTGCATCGAAACCACAATAACATTTTGCCCAACTTTACCTCAACTCAACATCAATTGAATTTTACAACAAAGGAGTGAATTACAATATTTGTAATGGGAACATGCCCAGATGACAGTGTCTTGAGTCTCTACACAGATGAGATTTCTCCTACTCGTGGTAAATCTGTGAGGCGTGCTGGTAAATTTCCTTCCACTCCAGGCAGCACTGGATACAGTCGTTGAGGTTCTGCTTGCTGGATAACACATAGCCCTTAAAGATCCTGTCCAGAGAGATGCTTTGGAAGCAGAGGCGGTTGATCTCATTACTCATCTGCAACACAGGAGAAAACAAACACTTGTCACATATAATAAGTAGTGGGCGACCAAGTTACAGACACTTGTATTCACATTTACTATATGCTCATATGATGCGGTATAACAAGTCACTTTTACTTTAAACCAACATGATCTTTGAGTATGCATATTGTTTGTTCTAAGTTTCCTAATGTCCTTTTTGCAGCCAGAAAATACGTACATCCTCCTCAGGCTACAGGGTTTATTATTTTTCCCCCTTCTCTTATGGTATTAGCTGGAAACATATAAAATATGGACATATATAACAGCGAAGGGGTTATCTGTTAATGTTGCTCCACGGACTTACCTGAGGTATACATGATTGCTTGTTTAAAGGACGTTGAAGTAGCACATCAAAGTATCAACAAAATAGCTGAAATATGAATGGTGGGCTGCAGCATGTGGCTGCGTATGTGCAGTATGTTCAAACAGTGAATGTGTGTGGGAGTTAATTAAATGAACGGAGAGACAGGGGGTTAATAAAAGAAACCTGGTGTGAGTACACTTCCCCCAATTACTCTGATGCAGTAAAATGCAGGCACCTTGTGGAAGAGACCAGTGATCCTCTCCTTGGTGTTGTAGTGGAGGGAGTTGTCATAGATGATGCGAATGAGACCGACAATGTGTTGCAGTTTCGGAGCGACTTGGCTAGGCTTTAGCCGGGCCAACTCTTCCAATGGCTCCTTCAGTATGGACAGGAAGGTCGTGTTTGATTGGGCCATCACAGAAAATTCCTGAGCAACACAGAAGAAAGATGACAATATGAATGCTTATTATTATTATCATCATTATGTTTCAGTCATGGTAACAAATGATGATGGTGACAATTCATGTCAATATTTTCCAACTTTCTAGCTCGTAATGTTGCAGCAGTGAGAAGCCCTCCAGTCCGTGAGTAGGGAAACGATTCTAGACGTGAGAGTCCTAGTACCTGTATTTCCTGGGCCAGTCTGCAGAAGTCTTTTACATAGCGAGACTTGGAGAGCAGCAGGATCTTCTGGATTTGCCTGACACCAGGCTTTTGCAGTTGCTGGCTGATGTCCGACAGCTTTGCAGAGCAACTCTTCCAGAAGGCAATCTCCTGCAGCGGGCCGCACTTTTCCCTCATCTTCATTATTTCTTGGGTACTTAGAAGCTTCTTGACCTGATCCGTCCAGTGGATCATTACAGCTAAAAACAGGAAGAACAAGTGGGTGGAAGAGAAGGGAAATGGAGGCAGGGTGAAATAAAGAGTGGAGGACAGACGGAGGGAGCAAAGAAGAGCAGAAGTTGAAATGATGTGAAAACCACTAAGTGTGACTAAAGAACTGTTGGAAAAAACTCAAAACAATGAACAAATAGGACTAATGCAGGTGAGGGGTTATGAGCCCAGTGCCTCATTATATAAAATCTCAAAAGAGTCTGAGACACAAAGCCAATGCTGCAGTTTCTAAGTTTTTTTTTAAATCAGAAATGAACAGACCGTCTGACATCTGAGTGTGCCCTGACGCAGACTCCACAGAGACATATGGAAAGAGAAAGGCCCCACACCCACCCATACATACACATATAGAGAGAGCTCCCCCCGGCTTACACTCCATTCTCTGTATCAGCTTCTTGTCCTTGCTGGCCACCTCAGGTCTGCACTGTAGGGCTTCCATTGGTATGTATAGAACTGTCTTGCCCACCGTGTTATACACAGCATCTGTTCAAACAGACAAAATTGGTAAAATATTACACTGCAGCACATGTGGCTCGGTGAAAATGTCATCAAGTTATGTTGGCCGTCCTGTGCACAACTGCACCAATTGACTCCAAATGCGACGTGTGTCTTTTCGTGATTTCTACCACACCATCCTGGCATAGAGTGCCAGCTGGATACCAGGGATAAAGAAATACCTTTGTCGTCCATTTGAATGCATATGCTGTAACACAGATAACCTTCACTGTTACTGAATCAAATAGTCTGGCGACACCAGAGAGATGTGGGGGACTAGAAATGTGTAAAATGCCTTTGATTCTTGGTGGACTGCCTAATAATTATGTTGGAAAATGTGTCAGGAATATCTTATCTTTGTCTCATCCTCTGGGAAACAGTGTTTCCCTTCTAGAGGTACAGTTTTTGTCAACTATCAATTAATTTATTTCTGCACCCCACTGGAGCTGAGTGACACATCTGTAGAAATAGAAGTGTTTTTGTTATGTGCGATTGAGAGTGAGGGACGTCTAAAACGCTTCAAAGGCACTTCATAAACACTGGCAGTGTAGATTGCTCTTTAATGATGTATTGTCTAGAGGACATCTCTGAAGAGTCAATGGCAAATCAGAGTGAGTAAAGCAAAGATAACACCCTTACAGTAGTCCAGAGGTTTATTTTTAGAACTACTACCTTGTGTGGTGCCGTTCGATAGTGAATTGTCTCCCTTACTTTTCCCCTGAGGTACCCACCTGTGAGGCTGACAAGGAAGCAGTGCATCTGGTTGGTATATTCCTCCTTGATGTTCCTCTCCATGTCGGTGCTTAGGGCAACTGCGGGGGCGTGCTGACAGGTCATTTCACAAAGCAGCCTCTGGGTGGGGTTGCCCCCCCGCACTGTGCCAAACTGCACGGCCGCATCAAACGTCTCCGCTGTGATTATGGCTCCTGGTATGCGTCTAAAATAGGTCAGCTGCTCTACCTGCACCGATTAAAGAATTATTTAGGTGTGATGGTAATGAGGAGATGAAAAATACATGGAGGGAGATGAATTTTAAACAAAATGAGCAGTGGCTCTCAACTGCATTCTTGTCAAGGACCCCTAAATTAGTCGTTAGGTCACAGACCCCAGTCTGATGAGGTTTCATTTCGAGAACCTAGATCAAAACAGATTTTGGTTGTTAGATATGATAAAGACCAGAATCAACTACAGTTAAGGAAATAAACGCGGAGATAGTGAAACCTGTATGATCAGTATAGTCACTCTCATAGTAAATCAAATATTGAAAATAAACTATCCCACACTTTTCTTGGGACCCCCTGAAACTCCCTCAAGGACCTCTGGGGGTCCCCGGACCCTTGATTGAGAATCACTGCTGTATCGGAGGAGAAGAGACTGGGCAATGGTGCTTTTTAGGAATGTGAACAAAGTTACTCAAACATCTTTTTTTTTCGGGCAGAATCGTGCAAGTATCTAACTATATGTTTAACTATCTAATTTAAAAGCATGAAGGTTTAAGTGGGGAGGAAAAGTGCGCTTTACCTGGGAGGGCATGGAGAACTCCACCCGTAGCCTGTCATACGTGTCCACGTAGACCACCATGGTTGTGATGGATGTGTCATCAATAAATTGATCCAAAGCCCGCTCATTCTCATCCGTCAATAACTCTCTGGGTACACCAGTAACAGTCATTAAACGGATAAACAGCTTCCATGGAGAGATGAAAGGCAGGGTCCGAGGAGAAAGGGGGGAGGGAAAGAGACAGGTGGTTATTTGTTCTATTTAGTGGGATGATGTCTTTGCACACCCCACAGAGAAAGAAGAAAAATCTAAAAAATGACACATTATAACCAATGACCGAGCTTTACCTGACGAATGGTCTTTGAATATTCCTCATCCATTTCTTTCAAAGCCTTCACCTCGAAGGCTGTCTTCTCTGTTTACCAAAGCAAACGGAGACTGATACACTCAAATGCACAATATACACTGAAATACACAATATACACTGAAATGCACAATATACACTGAAATGCACAATATACACTGAAATACACAATATACACTGAAATGCACAATATACACTGAAATACACAATATACACTGAAATACACAATATACACTGAAATGCACACACTGAGACACCAATTTATAATTTTAACCTTTAACGTAAACCCTCATTATCCTGTTCTTTACTGTTAAAAAGACTAAATCATGACGATTTAGTAACACACCTGCCCAAATAAGCTAAACGTCATGTCGTTTATTTTTCTTTTGAAGCTTGCAATACCACTTATTATAACGTTGTATAGATTGGGTAACGTTAACGTAAGAGGAAACATAAAGTGGCTCTTCGGTGTTTACGGACTAACTTGGCTTAAAACTATATTAGCTTAGCCAGCTAGCAAGCAAACTTTAAGCAACAACCGTAACTGTAGGTTAACACGCGCAGCCGTTGAGTCCTCCCGGGCTGAAGTGAGTCGCCATACAGCGACAAAAGTTCAACTATTTCCTCTAACTTTTCACGGGTCTGCTACAACACATGTATCCGTGCAAAATAATGTATGACAAGTCCTTCATTACGCTACGTTACCTTTCTTTGAGGCTGTGTCACTTCACCATCCATTCAGTCACACTTGTGGTATGGAGTTTGCGTGTCTCCATGGACACAATCGGTTGACTGGGCAACCCTGGAAAGAGACTCGTCTTGTGTAACCGCGAGACTTTGAATGTGTTCGCGGTAGTTGATGTTCGTTGTGTTTACGTTTGGGATGACCCACGTGGATGTGTGAACGAGAACGAGATACAGCACGAGGAAGGATAGATACCCGTTAGTTGTAGCATCAGAATCAGGATCTCTCATCTTCCATTCAACACTCGTACATTTTCATGAATGTGCTGAGATATCTTCTGCTGACAATGTTAACTTATGTTCACAATATATTGATCTGTCTCGCACAGGATGAGTGCAAAGTCAAAATAAGAAAGAAATCATCTTTTAGGACGTGCAGCACCTGGTGCGTCCATACTGAGCATGAACACATCATACTGAGAAGGGGCAGATATTTTTCTTATTGGGGATATTTGTATCTGTTTTATGGTGTTTATTTTGTTATATAATAGTATATTAAACCATCAGTTTACATTCAGAAAGGACATTGTAACACATCGACAAGTTCCCTAATTTATGTTTTCATTGTTTTCACATTGATAACCTTTTTGTGTTCTCCGTTTTATTTTGTCACCTCTCCCTCTCATTTCAGATAACGTCACTTCCTTACCTTATGTGTTTCCAGCCAGTGTGATCGCCTTTCCCCACCCTGATCAGCTTCATCTGTTCCCAATCCTCCTCCTCCTCCCTTCATTATTTAGTCTGTGTGCTACCCTTTGTCTGTGCCAGTTTGTTTTTGCTGTTCTGAACCTGACCTCTATATGGTTGCACGCAGTTATTCATATTTATAAGATAAATCTTCCTTTATTCTCATTATTTTTATTTATTTTATATTTATTTATTCCTCCAATCAAAGTTAGCAGATTATTTTACTGTGTTACTGATACATTCTTGCTCCGTTTGCTGTGATTGTCGTACCTGTTCTTCTGTAGTTTCTGATAAACATCCGGAAATAATGGAGGAACAAATTTGAGGAAAAGAAAAAGTTAAATCCTGATAGTTCCTGAAAAAAAATCTCTAGAAGTGTTGAGGGGAGACTGTTGTCTGACAAAGCTTTTCACCTGCCTCACCAGTGGTGCTGTGCACTTGGAAGTGGCACATACACTGGATACAGACTCCTGTATGAATCGTGAACTTAAAAATGCCCTCTCGGCCTTTGATTCACGCTCATGGCCATGACTCTGGCCTCCCAGCTGGGGATCGGGTAGGTGGCCCTGGGAAAACCCATCCACGCCACAGCTTGAGACGGTCGTCTCCTCTGCAGGGTTACCCATCAATCCACTCCTCAATGACAGTATCAGGTAATCACAATGAATATCATCTCATCTATGCACCACAGCAGCTGGTCATTTTGTGCTATCCGTGGCTTAGGAGACATACAGGTACATCTCAATGAATTAGAATATCATCGAAAAGTTAATTTATTTCAGTAATTCAAAAAGTGAAACTTATATATTATATAGATTCATTACACACAGGGTGATATATTTCAAGCATTTATTTCTTTTAATTTTGATGATCATGGCTTACAGCTAATGAAAACCCAAACCATATCAGCAGGAATGGGAGGCCAGTGTCCCCTCACTCCAGGCATTCGTCCAGCGGTGCCGACGCACTTGGAGGCAGGCCCGCTCCACGTTCTTGCGCTACCAAAGGTCTGCCAACAGACGCCGTGTCCCTGCACCCCGTTATGCCCCGGGACAACGTGTCTGGCTGTCTACGCGGGACCTTCCCCTCAGAGTGGAATCCAAGAAATTGGCTCCTCGCTTCGTGGGCCCATTCCCTGTTTCTCGGGTCATCAATCCTGCTGCCGTCCGTCTTCGTCTGCCGTCATCCATGAGAATTCATCCCACCTTCCATGTCTTCAGGATTAAACCAGTCAAAGAGAGCCCGCTTCAGCCCCGAGGGGCATGTGTGTAGAAAGTAAATAGTCAGTCGCGCGGAAAATTAAGATTATTTTTAGTATATACTTTATTAAGCAATGTCCGTTTGAGAATGAGTCAAAATGTCATATCATGTTAATTTACATTCATTTACATTGTACAGAAAAGCAAGTCAATTACAGTATGTACGTTGTGTTTGCCTGACTCTCAGTATGTGAACACATCGGTATGATCCTCCGCAGGAAAGATGTCTGTCATCAGCCTCGCTACTTCCAGGTCTTCGGCCAAATCCAAGTCACCCGACTCCGCTGGTGCAGCAGGGGACTCCATCCATGGGGGCAGAAGGAGTCATCGTCATCCAGCAGGTCCATCATGTCGTCCACATTCAGCATCAGTGGAACGACTTCTCCGACCTCGGCCAAGTCTTTGGACTCCGTTGTTTGAGCCAGTGCAGCAGGGGACTCCATCGCTGTGGACGCTGTTGTTATAGATTCCAAGCAGAAGGACTCATACTCATCGAGCAGGTGAGTGAAGCTGCTGACGTCCACAGTGGCTAACGTTTGAGTATAAGGACCCTGCAACTGAATGGTCTCCATCTCATGAAATGATTTGATCATACCTGGGTGGAGATCTGCTGTTCATTTGCATAAACAGATATGTATGTACTGTGTAGATAAAGTTAAACATCACAATCTCACAGTGTGTCACAAAGATGGGTCGTCTTCAGGGGAACGACGGATCAGCAGGTTTTGTCAGCCGTAGTCAGGTATTTGGTGAGGGAAATTTACTGCACCAGTTGAAAACAACTGCTAAATGAATTAACATCTAAGAACAGTGTTGACAAGTCATTACTACATTTGCCAGATTCACAAAAACTGCAGTGACAAAGAGGAGCAGTGGTCACAGGTGGAGGAGTAATGTTCAGAAGCCCACAAACATAGACCTGGTTCTGGTTCTTCTTCACAGACCGCTACAGAAAGAGAGAGACAGGATGTCGGCCAGAGAGGGGAAGATGACTATGAGTTAGGACTTGATTAGATTAGGTTAAACCCGTTTGCTTGGCAACATCACAAATTCTGTTTTCTATCTGATTGAAGCTCGCCACTGAAGTTTAACCACATTTCACAAAGTGAGACATTCACCCAAATCAGTTTATTTCACTTGGCTGTTGAAATATCTGCAGCATTAATTCAACGATAAAATGATATGTCCTGTGTTCCGTTTCATACTCATTTTTATGTTGCTATAGTCTGGATCAGAAATCACATTAAAAAGCTGCACAAATGTTACAGTATTAAAACAGACATGTCTTGAAACAACAGACCTGTTATTCACTGTTGATGTAAAGAGCCTGTATGGCAGCCTTACAGGAGACAATGACAAAAAGAATACCATTTAATCCACCAACAGTGCATGGCTGGTCATATTTTATGAAACAAACCGAACTGAAATACAAATGTGTCCTTCCCAAGTACAACATGTTTACTAAATACACAAGTAAACATTAATAGGAGGGACTTCTATCTGAAGAGGGGAGTGAAGTTATTTAAATGAAAGATGCACAGACACAAACTTTCTTCAGTCAGAATCAGGATTTAAAACTCAATGTATGAGGCCATGTTTCTGGTGATGCACATTGTTCTGTCACGCCACCACTCGGCAAACATTCACAGGGTTGGAGAAGTGTTCTTAACTCGTCCTATTAGATAAATAACTCTTGATCTAAGGGGGTGCATATGTGGAAATATGGAACCAGTCTAACTTGGCACAGAGTTTGTAGCGTTTTGGGAGTGTATTTGTTGCATATTGTAAAATACTTACAATATGCACTACTCTCCGGCAGTTTTCGAACTCCTCTTGTAAAAGAGGAACCTGGATGATTTAATACTAAATAACTACAGAGGCCCGTCTCGAAGCTTCTCTTCATAAGCAAGATCTTTTATTCTTGCAAACAAAAATGGGTTTCAATGAGGTTTCTGCCCACATCATTGGCAAGCAAATAAAATAATCTAAATGACATTCACCTGAATAATGATTCGGGTAGCATTATAGGAGGTCTTGCAAAATACACACAGGTGTAATTACGCACTGTGACCATTGGAGGGCACTAAACACTCATGCTGTGTCCAAATCCAGCTTGAAAACCTTGACCATTACCGTTTAGATTTAAGCTTACATAGTGCATGGCCTCACACAAATGTGTATTGAATTATGTTCTCACACATGTATGCAGCAAACCTGTGGCAGGGTCGTGTTCCAGCGTATGAATACTGTTGGGTTCCTGGGTTGTGTGTAAGGATCATTTTTGCCTCCAGAGAGTAAATTCGGCCCTGAGCACTTCAAAACACCGAACCCTTTAATAATGTCACGGTGCGTTGGAAGGCTTCATTTCCACCTGCGGCTCGCATCTTTGTGCGCCGTGTGCACCTGCACAAAGCCGGTAAGAATACTTCTGCTTTATTGTTCAAAATAAAAGTTATAACCACCTACCAAGAGAATCTACCAACCGTGGTAAAATAAATGACGGTACTCTTCACCGGGGAAGGAGAAGTACGAATCTTTCACTTAAGTAAAATTTAGAAAAACCACAGTGAAACAAATAGTTTCAAGTAAAAGTCCTTCATTCAAAGTAACAGCAGCAAGGCCCACTTTAAGTAAAAGAGCTCTTTATGCAAAATGGCCCATTTCAGAATAATATACACTCACCGGCCACTTTATTAGGCACACCTGTTCAATTGCTTGTTAAATACTGAGGTTAAATTTTACATGTACCTAATGTCTATTGACGACTATAATACATTTAATTTCATTATATTTCTAAAATAAAGATATATACATTTCCCTTTCTCTCCTGTAAGTTAAGTTCTTTTTTATTCTACTAAGTAAATAATCAATGTGAACTATTTGATATTCAAGGAGGGATTTGGTAATCCTAAAATCATGATGGTGGCACCAAACATCCTGAGGCAAATTACGAAAAGTGGTAGCAGTCAAAGTCTATTCTGAATCCAAAGTCACAGGTCAGATATGCTACTGGTTTACACGACAGGAGTTTGGTGAGAGTATCTTACCACAGCATCCTACATCGGACACACCGGAAGCCTGAAGTGAGCTCTGAGGCAGCATGTCACAAAGCTCAAATCATGTCAAACTGGTTTCTTGAACATGACGATGAGTTCACTGTACTCCAATGGCCTCCACAGTCACCACATCTCAATCCAACAGAGCACCTTTGGGATGTGGTGGAACGGGAGATTGGCATCACTGCGTGATGCCATCATGTCAATATGGAGCAACATGTGTGAGGAATGTTTCCAGCACCTTGTTGAATCTATGCTACGAAGAATTAAGGCAGTTCTGAAGGCAAAGGGGGGGTCCAACCCGGTACTAGCAAGGTGTACCTAATAAAGTGGCCGGTGAGTGTATCGTGAAGTTATTGATGCATTGATGTGTACTTAAATGATGCAGCTGGTAAAGAAGATGGGTATTAATAATCTAAATCTCAAAAGTAACTAAAGCTGTAAGACAGATGTAGCAGAGTAAAAATACAATATGTGCAGTGAAGAAAGTAGCATAAAGTGGATATACTCAAGTTAACCTCAAAATATTAAAGTTGAGTAAATGTTACATTCCCCATCTGCTCTTAACAAATATATTATAAAGGAAGTGTAGCCACCAGTTGTTTTTAGAATAAAGAACTTAAATATACATATACATATACACATATACATATACATATACATATATACATATATTTACATATATATACACATATACACATATATACATATATATACACAGCTGTGTGAAAAAGTGTTTGCCCCCTTCCTGATTTCTTATTTTTTTGCATGTTTGTCACACTTAAATGTTTCAGATCATCAAACACATTTAAATATTAGACAAAGATAACACAAGTAAACACAAAATGCAGTTTTTAAATGAAGGTTTTTATTATTAAGGGGGGGAAAAAATCCAAACCTACATGGCCTTGTGTGAAAAAGTGATTGCCCCCTAAACCTAATAACTGGTTGGGCCACCCTTAGCAGCAACAACTGCAATCAAGCGTTTGCGATAACTGGCAATGAGTCTTTTACAGCGCTGTAGAGGAATTTTGGCCCACTCATCTTTGCAGAATTGTTGTAATTCAGCCACATTGGAGGGTTTTCGAGAATGAATGAATCTCAATCGGATTCAGGTCGGGACTTTGACTAGGCATTCAGCCATTCAGAGGTGGACTTGCTGGTGTGTTTTGGATCATTGTCCTGCTGCAGAACCCAAGTGCGCTTCAGCTTGAGGTCACGAACAGATGGCCGGACATTCTCCTTCAGGATTTTTTGGTAGACAGCAGAATTCATGGTACACGCGTGTATATACGCGTATACACACGCGTACACGCGTGTATATACGCGTGTATATACGCGTATACACACGCGTACACGCGTGTATATACGCGTATACACACGCGTATACATACATACATATACGTATACACATATATGTATACACATATATGTATACACATACATACACGTACACACGTATATACACGTACACACATACGTATATACACACGTATACACACACGTATACACACGTATACACATACGTATACACACGTATACACATACGTATACACGTATACACGTATACACATACGTATACACGTATACACACGTATACACATACGTATACACGTATACACACACGTATACACATACATACATATATATTTATTATCAATCATTATTAAGCACACTTTTGTCTGTTTGAAGAATTGTCCACACCAGCTCAGTTTTCTTTATAGGAACGTTTATTTTGTACATTTACAGTGACAGCATAAATTACATTTGAATAATAGGCTACTGTGATAATGCAGACAGTGAATGTTAGAGAGACCAACAGTGAGCCACGACATGGGGGAAGAGTGTTTGTAAGAAGACAGAAGAAAAGAATATTGCATCATGATCTAATGCAGCACATTTCTTTCAGCGACTTTCTTTTAGAATTGTATTTGTAAAAACTACAAGAAGGAGCTTCTCCAGTTTCCCTGCGATCAAAAGAAGGACACTGAAATGTTGGTGCTGCTGTTCTCATACGTGAATACCATTTTACATCACTTACATCTTCATGTTTTACAGAAGGAGAGGACTTCTTCACATCTCATCCGGCATTGAAGCGTTACAGTAAACCAGTGAAGGTATTAATGTTCAAGCAGCCGAGACGGATTAGGACAGAACATGGCCTTCAGCGTGAAACCCTTCATGTCTGCAGTTCAGCTAAGCGTGACTGAGAATGTGCTTGAACAGCTGAAGTTGTGGGACATTATTTATCAGTAGCTGTGGTTTCCACGCTGCTTTTGAATTTTGTTGACAGCTGCTGATTTCTCCCGGGGTCAGTCTCGACACATTTATGTCCGACTCATTTGGCATTTTGTTAACCATTAACGAGTGGAAAATCCTCAGCATTAGTCAGATTAAGAAGACGACACAATGCTGGTTGTTTAGTCCAAAGAAAAGGGTTGATGCGTTTGTGATAACGGGGGTGAGTTTGTTAGCTTGCAGTTTTAAGTGTTTACGACGTTCAGTTTTGATAAATGGCTCTTAAGGACCTGCCTCTGGCCTCGGGTGTTGTCATGTCGGGCAGCAACGTCCCGACACTTAACAACAGCGTCCACCTGTTTCTCACCTTTCTGAAACCCTTCAATGACCTTTAAGCTCAGCGTCTTCTCCACTTCTCCACTCCTTCTGTCCTCCTTTACTATCTTAACAAAGTCTTTAGGGATTTATTTATCCGTATAAAAAAATATCTGTACATCACATTGACATTTCTTCACAGCTCGCAGCGGTCGTCCTCAGTCTTGTAGCGGTCCATGATGCTCAGGACGTCCTCCATGATAGATGGGCCCAGATCCAGGTCTAACCCCGCCAAAGAGTCTGACCTCGAGACCCCGGATGACACCGTGAGACCTGCCGGATGGAAGGCGGAGCAGGGCGACTCGCTGCGGTCGCTCCTCAGATCCTCGTTGCTCAAGCCGGCGTCCGAGTCCAGACTGAGGCCCCGGCGGACGTCCAGGGGCCCGCAGGTTTCCGACATGGAGTCCTCAGAGGAGACCTCTGAGAAGGAGCCGGAGGAGGGGACGAGCCTGCGGACGGCGGGGGAGAGGGAGATGTCGCGGCAGGGCTCTGACGCCAGGCGGCCCACCACGCCGTTCTCGAAGAGCTCGCTGTGGTTGTCCGTGTGGCCGTTGGCCTGTTTGCGGCCCGTGTCAGCCGGCTGCTGATGGTGGTGGAAGTGGTTCTGCTGGGACGCCAGAGAGGGAGGGGAGGGGTCGTCCAGGTGGAGGCGCGGGGGTTTGGGCGGAGCCTGCTCGTGGGCTATGAACACGGGCATGGAGATGGTGGTCTTCAGCAGGCCGGTGGAGGAGTGCTGATAGTGGTAACCATTGTAGGCGTAGCTGTGCGAGTCCTGCCTCGCCGCCAGGCCATCATCCAGCCGCCTCTCCACGCTGTGCGAGCGGCCGTCCTGCATCCGACTCAGAGCCGGCAGCATGTCCATCTTGCCCTGCAGGAAGCCCACGTCGCCGAACATGTCGCCCTGCCCATCGGGCCCCACGTGGGCGCTGTGGCGCACGTCGCCCAGCGGCGGGCTTATCATATCGCCCGAGAGGACGTCACGAAGCCTCAGCCTCTTCCCCTTCTTGGGGGTCGTCGTTTTTAAGTACATTGGCGTCTTTGCCGGCATTTTTGCGTCCGACGTCTGCTTCACGCAAGGTGATTTGGAGAAAACTCTTAATCTGAGAGGAGGGGTACGTGTCCTCCGTTCAACTCACTGGGAGGCAGCTCTTTATGTCTGGGTATTAGTCCGTTTCTTAGGAAAGTAAGTTGAATGTAGACGAACAGTTCGCAAAGCAAAACTCCCGTGATAAGAAGCTCTTTTCCCCTCCCAACCGAGGGGATCCTTTTGCTCCTCCAAGTGAGAATACAAATATTTAGCTCGGTCAGCGTAGCGATAGCAACCCAAGGGGTTGTGCCTCACGCTGTCTTGTGACTCCGGGGCGAGGAGGGGAGGAGGAGGAAGACCTTGACCTCAGATCAGCTCTGTGTGTCTTTCTCTCATACACAGAAAAGCCATATCCAAGTAAACAGCGGCTCCTCTTCCCCCTTCAGAACGCAAACCTGCTCTCGTCTTTATCCCTCCTCAGACAGAAGGGATGAAGGGTGGGATCTCTGGCGGGCCCCGCCGTCTGCTGTCGGTGGGTTCTGTCAGAAACTTTGGGAACGTGACATCAGAACGCTGGAGATCTGTGCGGAGAAACGAGAGAGAGAGAGAGAGAAAAAGGCGTCAGGAAGTGGTGAAGAGAGAGGGAGGAAATTGGGGAGATGGATGGGGCAAAAAGGGGGAAGGGAGGAGGCAGGAGCCGGGGGGGATGAAGAGAGGAATGAAGGCGGAGGAGGAGATTTACAACTCTTCTTTTCAGAGAGGACATATGAAGGAAAACACTCCAGAGTGTTTGCTAAGAAAGGGGTCCGACTGCCCCAAAATTGTGTGACTCTTACAGCGAGTCAGTCCACGAATCAGAGCAGAAAATTGGTCACGCATTCCCGAGGAACCCCTCAGCTTAGTTGGTGGAAACACAAATTACTGTATTGGCAACGGTGAGGCTTTAAAAGCCTCTGGCCTCCGCAGCAACTCCCCTGTTATCAGTGGAAAATCTTAAAAGTCTCTTTCCTGAGACAAACACTGTGAATTATGGAACAACAGTTCAGGTCTCGCCTGAGGGCTCTGTCATCTTGTGATCCCATCATCTGAAATATTCCTCTGGTATTTAACTCTTAGAACGTTAAAAAGAGTGCTCTGTTTCATGTTCAGGGTTCAGAGGTTGTGACACAAAATTTGAAGAATGCGATGCATGCCTTTACAAAAACATAGCTAGACTTCTTTAGATGACGAGGAAATAGAGAGACATTTAAGAAGTGCAACCCCTTTCCTTATTGAAGCACGAGGAAGCATTTTGTCTTGAAGAATGTTTATAATAAACTTCAGAAATGAAGTATTTGAAGTTTTTACGGAGCAACGTCGTTTTACTCTAATGTGACTTTCAGATCTTATCCTATAATTATGTCTGAATGCTGCGCAGATCACAGTGTTCTCGATGAACGCTTGACCGTTGTTTGAAAATGAGAGAAACGGGAGGAATTCTGGTCTCCACCCCGACATCATCACATTGGCATCTGAGAGGGTTCACATTCAGGTTACTGTGAACTTCACTCAACCTGCAGTCAAAGTAGCAGCACCGCAGTGTAGAAGTACTAAAGAACAGTTCTGCTGCACAAGTATAAAAGTATTATTATCAAAATAGACAAAGTATCAAAAGTAAAATGACTGATTATTCAAATTAAACAAATGGATTATAATTACTGAAGCATTCATGTGTTTGTCGCTTTAATGTTGCAGCTGGTAAACATTCATTTGAATCACTTTATATTGCTGCTAGCCTGTGAGTTTCCCCCCTTATCTTATTTTATGTCATAATAATACGTCATCATTTATTTGTTGGTTCTATTTTATATTGTTAATCTGAATCTGCACAGTAAGTTATCACATATATGTAGTGGAGTAAAAAGTACAATATTTGCCTCCAAAATGAAGTTGACTATAAAGTAGCATAAAAAAGGAAATACTCAAGGCAGTGCCGGGTGTTGCCATATAACAGTATTGACAATAACTAATATTTTAAAATGAAATATTGATGTCATGTTAATAATACACATAGGATAATATCGTGTAAATAATACACTACTCTGCAGTTATGGTTACAGACTCTCTCCACCGCCCTACACTGATATGTTACTTACTATATTTATTTTTAAAAAGGAGACAAAAAGCACAACAAATATGTTAAAGGGGATTTAACTGACAGCATTATTGTTTTTTTTATTTTTCAAATCCTCAATAGATATATCAATAAAATCATTATGGTGAATCATCTGGTCATGCAAATCTAATATTGCGACAGCCCTACCTCAAGTTAACTTTACTTTAATTACTATATTTTGGCAGCTAAAGTACAAGAGAATAGAGTCTGAGATCTGACGGATTGAATCTCACTACAGTAGATCTCAATTTTAGCTTCTTTTTTTTCTTTCATTCAAAAGTGATAACGGTATATCAATGCGCCAATTTGATCTTTCCCTCTTTGCAGCTCACCATTACGATTGTTCTGAGACAAACTCGTCAGTTGCACTTGACATCACTGATTTCTCTCCTTAGCTCCTGCACAGGACGTTCTTTGGAAACCAAGCACATTACAAACTGTCCGCCAAAGCTTTATTTCATTTTAGGTGGAGTCTCTTTTCCCTTTGCAGCATGTAGAGCTCTACATCATTTCATGCGTCATCCCCCGAATGACGTTAGCCGCCCGGGGACCCGCTTTCACCAGCAGCTATCAGGTGTTCTCTAAATGTTGCCAAAAACTGACTTCAATACACAAGCTGAAATAAAATAACTTCAGTCCACCTGTTCATGTTCAAAGCTTTTGTTGAAAGTGGGACCGAGTATCGGTCCAATTTGCATGAAAACAACAGAAAACGAATCGATGGAATAATCGTGTTTTTTTTTACGACAGCATTGACTGCATGGAAGTAGATGAGTATATAATCAAGAAGTCAGGAAATTACTTTAAAAGTTGCTACAAGGAACTTTACTTTCTGTTGATTTTGGCGGTCCCTGTGGACGAAAGTGGTAGCGTTTCTGAGCACCACACTCCCTGGAAACCTCTCATTTTACTGCTGCAGGTGTCTGACAGTCTGCCCCGCTCAGTCCTGGTTCTGGTTCTCCCCTCGCCTCCCTTCCTTACAGTGTGCTCAGCAATACGGCCTTGACCTCCAGCAGCGTGGCTCCCAGTGGGGACCGTCAGAGTCCCCCCTGGAGTCTGAGCTGAAGCCGTTTCTGGTAAACCTGCATGATTTGATCTTGTTTCGTGCGGAATCCGACCCGGTGGCACCCATGACAAGCATCAAGACTAACTATATAGAAATAGCCAGTATTATCGCTGATGGTCTTGTTTACTTATGTAGGTCATATAGAGGCGTCAGTGTTCCATTGTGACTGTTCACAACCAGTTACAACTTCCTCACAGTGACTTAAAAAAAAACAATCAGAGAAGGGAAGTTAAATGTCTGCAGCGTTTATAACAGACTATAAGGTTTACATTGACGTTTCAGGTACTTTTGATGCTTTTAACCAAACTGACTTCAAAGCGGGCTCAAAAGGGAAGAAAGTAATTTCTAGATGAGCAACAAGGCCGGTAATTACACACAAAAGGTTCAACATTGCGCTGAATTTGGTTGAAAAGTCGAGTTATCCTTTATATATCTAGGTAACTTCTTAACATTGTTTCAGCAATACGTCAAGTCTTATATTGTGACATTTGGTCAGGATCTGCTAACATTGATCTATTCATTCAAGGTTTCAGTAAAGGATCGATGTGGATAACGACCCGGGTTAAGTTACATCTCTGGACTTCAAAGAACACAACAGATTGTAGATTATAAACTATGCTAGAGAATCTGAGGGCAGATTAGTCCTCTAACTAGGGGGACAGATGATGTTCAAGTTCAGGGTTTCCACTAGAACACATTAACATGCTTTGACATTTAAAAAAAAAAACAACATTATTTTTCTCATACCGTCTGTCTGAATATATCAATCATAAATCAATCATGCAGCACATACCCAAGTGAAGAAGTGGAACAAATGAATAAAAAAAAAAAAAAACAGTCACACCTAATAAAGGGAGGACGCTCACTGTCGGCTCCATTAAAACAACCAGACGACAATAGAACGACCACAACAGTTCAAACACATAAAAGTAATACCAGTGAACAAGTGAACCAGTCCGAACTGGTTCAGACGGGTGGAGCAAGAGACCGTTTCTAACGTGTTGTGAAGATATTTCACTGTGTTTGACTCGGTGAGGGGATGATGGGATGTGGGCGACCTGCCCTTCAGCTGTTCCTTCAAAGGAATAGCTCATCCAAATGAGGGAAATTGAGACATAAATCTGTCTGTAGACAAAACCACATAATTTCATCCGCCTTCTTCCTTCTTTGAAATTATTTAGCACACATATGCAAACGATATTACAACAATCGTTTGGCCCTGAAACAAATACTACATCTCAACTTATTGAGAAGCCAAAAGATCTTAAAATGTTTTTTTTTTTCTGGAGCCATTGATGTTGGCAGATTCAAAAATATTCAGGAGGGAAAACAGATTGTGTTAACTGTGTGCTTTGGAAGAAGTGGAGAGTGAGTCCCATTTTGATCGACAGAAAAATAATCAACCGTTTTGACGTTAAAAACAGTGAAAAAAAATCTTAACATTTTCTCTTATCAGCTTCTCAAATGTCTCAGATTCTTTGTTTTAAATTAAATATCCATGTACTGTTGAAAACATTTGAAGGCCTCCCCTTGAATTCTGGGAAGTTTCGTTAGCAAAATGATTTATTGACTAATTGAAAAAACAAATAACGGGTGGTTAAACAATAATGAATATGGCTGTTAGTTGCAGCCCTACTACAAACTATGAGGAAAAGTTGGAACTCATTTTTAATTTGAATGTTTTATTCTGCATAGCCTGGAAAATGTGACAAATTGCTCTATTTAATTTGTATTTATTCTGATTTCTTCAGTATTGTTAACAATTTTCACAGTGATTTATAAGTTGTGTTGTAGACAGTGAATGCTATAAAGATTGTATTGTGTCAAAATGTAAACGCAGCACACTGAATCTGGCTATTATTATTCATGGTGTCTTGTGCCACAATAGTAAACAGACTGATGCCAAACATGTACTTACAGCTCTAATCACCAGTTTCAAAGCCACTCTACTACATGCTGCACTATTCTCCTGTTTCCACTCAAGAGTATTTGTACTGACGATAATGCAGCAAATATTCCTCTAAATAGTTTCAAAACATAAACACAATTTCGTATTTATTTGTGTACTATTTGGAAGAAGGCTGAAACGGAGCTACAGAGATACATTCAGCTGCCTGAGAGTGAGTTAATGTCATTAGAGAGGAAATTCAATCAATGGTCAGGTAGGAAGTTAGTTACTGGATGAAAAGATTGTAATTAGTAACAGTTTCCAAAAGTTATTCATCTAATCTTTTTGATTACTTTTGGTTTTACATATTTTTTCTTTTTCATTTCTAGAAAAATTAAAGGGGAACAACGCCCATTTTCAAAAGTCATACATAACTTTATCAAGTCTTATCAAGTCTTATCAACTCTTATCAACTCTTAATAACTCTTAATAACTCTTAATAACTCCCTCCCAAATCAGAAAACTGGAGTGCTTCAACACAAGACCTGTGATGTCATCAAGTATAAAGAGCGGAACGGCTCCATAATGAAATAAAGATGTTATAGATTACACAGAGAGCATCCAGGGGAATGAACATTTTCTGTTTCACAATTAGGAACACTACAATAGAATTAAAGCCAAAATCAGTCTCCCATTCATTGTCTATGGAGCAGCTCCATGACAGTTTGAGACGTCTCTGGTTTCTGGCTTTGAGAGAGGGTAGCTCATGTTCACTGATATTGATTGCACTTTTCCTAGGCCACGGAAATAACATATTGGAATCTTATTTTCGGTGGTGTTCCCTTTAAGACACAAATAAGTCAAAATCATACCCAAAGAAATGTCTTCAGTGGCACCAACAAATGTTCAAAGAAAAAGTACTACAAAGACATTCCAACTTTCATACTTATCACATTATTATTGAAAACAATATATGTAATCAGATACTAACACAAACAAACACACATTATGAGTATAGATAGCTTCACTGGAAGCTGTCCCGCGTCAATGAAGCATGAGTTAAATGTTTGTTTGTCCTACAGTTCAGACATTAAGTTTCTCAGCTCTCATCTGTCTGTCAATCACAAACAGACACACACGCGGTAGCAGCCAGTGTGGACTCGAGTCACATGACTTGGATTCAATTTAGACTGGAGTCACAAAGTTGGTGACTTAAGACTCGACAAAATAGAAAACATACTTGCAACTGGACTTGAACACTGATGACTCGCGTCTTCACTTGTACTTCATCATTTCCCCCAAAGCCCAAATATTAAGAGTTATTTGATTTAAAAAGTGTGCCACGAATCAATCCATTTCCTGACTCAACGAACAATAACGCTATTCATTCACGGCAGGTCGACGCTGTAATTCCCCGGATCCTTTTTAGTTTATCGTTGAGTTCAGCATCACTCGTTTTAACAAACTTGTTTTCACAAATAAATACAATTTTTAAAAACCACAATGTATGTATTTAATCTGTCATTAAAATGGTATTACATTTGGTGTGGAGCAGATTATGACTTGTTTAGGACTCAAAACTCAAAATGTAGGACCTGCCTGTCATGACTCGGGACTTGAGACATACTCGCGACTTGCTTAACATTAACTTGGTCCCACGTCTGAAAAATCGCTCAAACAGCTAGTTGACATTTCTTTCTTCCATGTTTCACCCCCCTGTTATTCTGGGACGCTGCTGATGATGCAATCAGCCACGGAGGAGGCTGATCTGACATCTGTTTCTGCTCTCAGGCCCCATTTGCTGCCTACATTGTGTCTACAGCAGGACATAGACTCAGTGAGCCTCCAGTGAGCCCTGTGATCTTCTAGGACAAACACATCGCCGCTCCTATTATTGTTGTTATCCTCCGCTGTCTGTCGCGTCACGCTTAATTGCACACAGCAGGAGATTGTTGACAAAAAAGCCCTTTGCTTGTCTGGTAATCCGTTTGTTTTTACCATAAAAAAATAAAGCTGATTTCATCTAGTTGATATACAGTAGCTGTTTTCCACAGTGAGGTTTCACTTGTTCGAGGGCCCAAGCACTAAAGTGCCAGATCCTAACAGTCCTGCGAGGTACCTATTGTTTTTGTAGAGATTACTATTCTACTGCACAATCCCGTTTTTGAGGGGCTTGGGATGCTCGAGAACTCACGAAAATTGGCACATGCTTCAGACCTGGTGAAAATAGCAATAAGTTCTGCAGTGACTGGTCTCAAAAGGTGGACAGGATATCTAATCTTAAAACTTGCTTTCTCTCTACTGACCAGCAGGGGGCGACTCCTCTGGCTGCAAAAAGAAGTCTATGAGAGAATGACTCTACTTCTCTCTTGATTTATTCCCTCAGTAAACATTGTAAACATGAGTTTATGGTCTCAATCTCTAGTTTCAAGTCTTCTGCAGCATGATGTTCATTTAGTAAATTATGGTCCATTTAGAGTCAAACAGACCATAAAGCAGGGGATGCATTAGGCCGGTCTTACTGTGAATGACAGGTCACTGCCGCTACCAGAGATGTTTACGGTGTCTCTACATCACTCCTCCGCATTCCAAATACGGTCACTCCTGTTCATTGATTGTGAACAAAACAACATGGCGACGGTCGTAGTTCAAGATGGCGATGGCGAAATCGCCAAACTCGAGGCTTCAAAACAGCAGTCCGCAAACCACTGAGTGACGTCACGATGACTATGTGCAGTTCTTATATGTAGTCTATGTGCATTACAAGAGTTATGGGATTTAAGAGATCCACCTCAAAGTCGGTCAGAATCTCAACACTTTATGATGCTAAATTGTGACGCTTTTCTGTTGTCTTGGTACGGTGTCGCCATGTCGAGGTGGGCAATATGCACGTTTTCGCCACGACACGGGAGGCTTTTGTAACTGGACTTTACATTGTCCGATCTCTCCTAAATCTGACATGCTGGATAAGAGTCCAGTCCTAAAGGCATCTACACTCCCATATTGAGTCATAGTCGTAGCGCCACCTGCTGAATGTAGGAAGTTAAGCCTTGTATGAGAGCATATTAACCAGTAACTACAAAAAAAAAATTAAAAGTATAACCCCTGCAAAAGCGCAAAGATTAAGGATAAAAGACGAGTGAGTTCAAGAATAAACTCCAGTTAACTCCCCCTCCCTCCCTCCCTTACGTAAGTGCAGCCTCTGAGATCATCCCCGCCCTCCTGAAGACTGTCTCGGGGTTGACTGATTGGTGCAAGTGGAACAAATCTGTCTCTTTTTTTCAGGTCTAATCCAGTCACAGATATTACAGCACAGCTATTTCTAATCGGGCTAATATAAATGAATGCTTCTGATTGGCCGGGATGAGACGCTCATTAGTGACCCCTCACCTACCCTCCTGGTTCACCATATTGCTCCATTATCATCAGTTAGCAGCACTGTCGCATGTTAAATTAACCACTAAATAAAAAATAACATCAGTTTCTTGGAGTTTTAATCTGAATACCACGGTACACCGGTACAACCATACAGCATAGCAGAGGTACGGCCGACTGCTGTGACCTCCCGTATTAAGCAACAGTGAGGAGTTTATTCCCGGAGCACCACAGGTACTCTGAGTCACTGGGAAGCCTGGCACAGTTTTGAAATGCTGTAACATTCCCCTCATTACTGGGCGAAGGTCCCACAGGAACAGCCCTGTCCTGCTTCTGTAACACCTAATCTGAGATATTAGGTAATCGCAACCTGGATAGCGTGTCCATTAAATCAAGTCATTCTTATTAATATAGCCCAATATCACAAATCACACATTTACGAGCGAGGATCAATTTGTGTGAGGGTCTTTGAAAGCCTCACTTCAGATCAGGAAAAACTTAACAAGAAAGACACTTTAACGTGGAGAAAATATAAAGAAGACTCGTGAAGAGCTAATGGGGAGGAATCCGTGTCTTCCTGGATGGACAGACATTAAATAATTAAACAAAACATAACATTCAGGTTAGTTATTAAAGGTTTCAACAGATGATAATATTTGAAACCTTGTATTGTTAACACGTCTGTCTAAAACGCCTAAAATGTGCATATTTATGTTTTTCTCCCCACATGGCAAACGACGCAAACCAAAGGGAGTGTCACGCGCGCCGAAGCCGAGGCTATTATGTTAACAAATATAATGTTCCACTGGTCAGTTCTTTCCTCTTTTTGTTGTTGACATAATAGGAGACATTGGGACTATTCAATAGGTAGGTCAGCAGCCACCGACCAACCGCTGACCAGTTTAAAAACCCATAAAAGAACCTCCACAAATCCACCAAAAGACGCTGATATTTACCTCCAGCGTGAGGCGTCGCTCCGTCTTCCTTGTGGGAATAAAATCACAGGAGTTTAGTCGTACAATCCACTGACACGGTCCTCGGCGCCAGCGTAGGTAAACCTCTTACTGGCGGGGTATAAGCCCTCTGACTCTGGAGCGCTCTGGACGGAGAAAGTAAAAAAAAGGGGATCCGCTTCTCACACAAGGAGCGCCGTCAAAACCAGCTGGAACGAGCACGAACAACGTCCGGTTAGGATTTTCAGATTAAGATATTCATCTGTGAACATGTGCTGTAACATTTTATTGTCATATCTATTCATTTGGAGGGATTTTTTATTTTTTTTTATTAAGCAGGGGAGAAAAAAAACACAAGTGAACGATATAATTGCCCTGTGCACTTTTTCCCCGCTACTTCTTCTGTGAAGTATGCTTCAGCCAGGTGAACAAGTGAGAGTAGGCCTATGACAAAAGGGGTAATAGCCTTAGGTCACATCTGATAATTACATCAAACAAATACATTGTTCTTAGGCCTAGCTAAAAGTACCAATACAACAGTGTCAGAAATACTCCTTTACAAGTAGAAAGCATGCATTCAAAATGTTCCTTAAGTAAAAGTAGAAAAGTAGTAGCATCAAACTTTACTTAAAGTACCAAAAGTAAAAGTACTTATAGTTCAGAAGGGCTGTTTTCAGTGTTGTGTTTTTCTGGAATATTATATTATTCTGTTTTATCAAATACATGTAAAAGCATAGTTCTTCAATGTGGAGCCAATTTTAAATACTGCATAGGCCTACTGCTGAATAGCTTAGTAGAACAGCATCATATTATATAAACGTTATATAAACGTTTTTTTTATCTAAAAAGTAACTCTTAACGAAAGCTGTCAGATAAATGGAGTGCGGTACAATATTTTCCTCTGACATGTAGTGTAGAATACAAGTATGTCAAACGTGTACATTCGTGTACATTCCACCATTGGTGGACATGTATGGATTTACAAAGGTAAACGAGACGTGCGTTGTCTTATTTTGAAAGTAAGACATTCTCAGCTTCCGGTGTCATCGTAGGCGGCAATCACTGATTTCACACAGCAGAGCTCAGGATAAACAACCAGTTTATACCATTAAACGGGTCTTTAAACCAGTGTGTGATAATTAAATCATCAGTACTGCTCCGATAAAGACGGTGAGGAGGGATAAGGCTGTGTTATTGATTACGTCTCTGATCAACAGGTGGGAAGCCACAAAAGGTCAAAGGTCAAAGGGTGAGCAATAACACCAGGAAGCAGCCAGGTTTGACCCTCAGCTGATGATGAGATCTTTTTCTAATTTAGGCCTGTGACTTACGCACTACAGATTGACCCTGTTTATATTTATGTGTCTAAGAAAACACAAACAGATTATTTGTTTGTTTTTTAAAAGTCATTGTTGAAGCTGCATTATGCCCAATGCTGCTGCTGCTGCTGCTGTATAACACCATTTCTCTGCTTTGCAAGTGAATCTGATACGTCACGTTTTTCTGACCACCTGTGCACCTCAGAGAGCCATCTTACTGTTGACCTTTCGCTGTGACAGACGGCGTGGAGACTGTTCTTTAATTGGATTAGCAGCAGAAACCACAGTCCAACAGCCAAACAAGTTTAGACCAATTAAAAAAAAACTGGAGCAGCCACAGGCTTCTCAGCAGGCTTTGTTTATTGTCCATGCAGACAACAGCAAACAAGTGAATTTAGTGGACTTTTAGTCAGTTGAATAATTGTCAGACTGCATGACTGAATAAAAGTCATCTTTGCAGCTTGCAGCTTTGCAGCAAGTTGAATGCTTTTTAAAGCTGCACTAGTTTGCGGGGCTAAAGCAGAGCATCACCAACAATAATATTTTCAGTGTCTGGAAATATTTCAGGTTCTTAGTGAACGATGAATTACAATGTGAAACTTTGACCAATTTGAATATGTTTTACCATTCTCGTCCCATTGGCTTTGTTTCATTGTTTCTGAATATTGACGATTGCAACTTAAAATATCTGATGTTTGGCTAAAATCAATAATCCAATTAAATCCAATTAATTTATTAAGTCAACCGTATCATACCATACAACTACCTTTTGCACTACCCCCATTCTCTCCAGGTATATATGGATTTGTATATAAGTACCGTATATATATTTTTTTATTTCATTTTATTCAATTCTTTAAATATCAGAATCAGAATGATTTTTCTTGTCATTATACTCCACTAAATGAAATGTAGCAGGCTTTTCTTGGTGTAGTTCAAATTAAATATATATAGTAAAACATTTGTATTCTTTACGTGTTTATAGTGTAGAGGGGCTTCAACTTACATTTCGCTGCAACCCTGTATTGAAATGACAATGAACCTTGTCACCTTGTTTCTGTCTGCAGCTACAGTATCATGGCTAAATCTAAGATTTTGGCTTGTTTTCTCCACAGAGTTGTAAAGTCTCTGCATTACTAGGAACAATTACACGTTTGAATGGGCATTCAAATTTTTTACTGGCTCAGTGGAGACCTGCTGGAGCATAAACTTCGGAGCCTCGTTGTGGTGGCCCCAACAGATTTGGCACTGCAGCTTCATTACAGCGAGGTAATGAGGATTTAACAAATGGAGAACGCAGACGTTTGCTGTTAGCAGGTCGGACTGCAGACACATCTTGTTTACAGCTCCCGCCCGCAAAGCAAATTAAATCCATTCCCTTGTTACTCATCCGCTGGTGTTTGCGCTTCATCTGCAAAGAAAGACGGGCGTCTTTTTTTGCTGAAGTCAGCGTCACACCATAAAACTGCAACATGGGAGGCAACATGAAATGTTTCTTTTAGTGGTTTCAGAGTTCTGGCACAATTTCACCTTCTTCCGAGCTGCATTGAGAAGGACAAACGGTTTGAAGAGGTCAACATGTGCAGTTTAAAGAACAACTTTATTGTGGGACAGATGCATTTTGGCTTGTGGCCTTCATCAGGGTCATCAGAGAACATATTTATGTAGGTTGTGTTACCGAGGTGAAATGTAACTAAGTGCATTTACTCAAAGACTGTACTTAAATTTGAGGTACTTGTAATCACAATGCTTTATACTTCTGCTCCCCTACATCTCAGAGACAAATATTGTACTTTTTACTCCATTTGTCTGACAGCTTTAGTTACTTTTCAGATGACAGTTTTTCCTCCCCTTCCTGTCCAGTGGAAACCACATATCTCCAGATGTGCTGATGTTGCATGTTTGTGATAAACCGAAGGATGAAGTGTTACTTAATGAGTTGAGAAAGTCCTCCTACTTCTTCATCTCAGTAAACTCTTTAAAAAGCCTCTTGGATCAGCTGGAAAATGCATCGTCACAAAGCTGAAAACAGGACTGTTGATGTGTTTAGAGATACGAGGTTCTCACAGGACAGAGACGCTACAAACATGATGATCTTATAGAATACGATGCATTGATGCAGATTAAACCAACCAACAGGATATAAAGGAGTTAAAACATCTACAGCAGTGACATACACATTAATGCAGCAGTGATATTAATCCAGAAACATCAGATATAATAGTAAAAAGCTGAACATTTACCGCACACTTTAACTTAAAGTCCTTGATGTGCATTTTGCTGATACATCATTTTATATTTGAGTCAGGTTTCAAGGTTTAGGTTTCTTCTGCAGTCCTGGACTTCCATACGACGAGACAAACATAAATAGAACACCCTCTCTGTCCCTCTCACTCACAGTATCACTCTCACCCTCCGCGAGTGTTTGAAGCCGATTGGAATGTGTACACCAGATAAGCACAGAGCTGCACCGAGTCTCTGAAAGACGTGCTTATATCACACAGCAGGGGACCGGTGTGAACACACACACACACACACACACACACACACACACACACACAGATATGACGCCACCTAAGCAAATCAAGATTTAATCAGTGCAGTATGGGGTGGGTCCACATGGATCCAGGAGACCACATGAGCTCTCACTCTCCAGGCCCCCGTGGCAGAGCTCCAGCCCCAACCAGGTGTCGCCCCCATGCTAAGACCCCCGGAGAGGTCGGCGTTAGTCCAGCTCTGAGAGACAACGTGGGGGCTGGAGGTTTGTGTCTGCATAACCCCCCAAGAAAGTCGTGTAAGAGCAAAGAAGGAAATGAAAGGTGGAGGTCTAGTTTCGTCTATTTAGATCGTGGAGGGGGGAGATCGTATTCAGCCCGCTCTTTGTAACGCAGCACCGTGTCAGTCCTGCAGGCCGACCCTGGCAGACCGCAGAGCCAATTTGTCCTCTCTTGTTGTACATTATTACGCAACAGGCTCAGCCAGGTGGAATTAATTCATCCCCTTGAGTGTCTCATAGATTTCACAAGAAGACTCAAGATTTAGGCAAAACTCCCACTGTTGAATGACCTGCTGCTTTCAACTTGTACACAAACTTAATCAGCCCCTTAAATCCACCCTGTTTAATCATGTGACTATTACTCCAGCCTTTAGATGGAGGTTTTTGATCTATGCCTGTCACTGTTTCTCTGAGAGTTTTTTTAACTTATCACCTTTGTACTCAACTATTTTCGGGACTCGAAAGTAGTCCTTGTTTTTTCCCCGATTTGATCGGTTGGAACAGCAGTAAACAGTGCAAACCACAGGCATTATTGCCACAGTATGGAACCTGCCTCCAGTAGCCAGCCCTCCATCTGGAAAGCGTGCCGATGTGTGACGTCATCTGCAAAGAACCTATTGTCTCTGTTTCTGGGTCTATGATGATTGTCCTCCTATTTATCAGTGTGTTTTGCCTTTCTTTATCTGGATTCAAGTCCTCAATGAAACCCTAAATTCGTGACTTGAAAATCATATTAACAATGCTTCGACCTCAACAGTCCTGACCCACACAGCCCTAACAACCAGCCAGCGGTGGTTCCTGGGGGACGTGGGGTTTGTATTTCCATTTCCGAGCAGTAAAAGTCATGAGTGACGCACAACTGAGACACTATAAGTTACCTCATAGCCAGGAATTCTGGGAATCTGTGAGTAAATGAGCCTTCATGTGTTTCCATTTATGTTGCTTTGATTGAAGCAAACTGCAGAGCCTCAGGGGTGATAGGCTGAAGGAAGAGAAGGGGGGGAGGAAAAGAAAATGCAGAATGAGTGACGAAGGGAAATCAGGAAAGAGGAAGAAGA